ATAAAAAGCTTCTGCACAAGGAAGGAAACAATCAAAACTAAAAGACAACCTACTGAGTAGGAGAAGCTATTTGCAAATGACATAGCTGATAAAGGGTTAGTAGCAACACCCAAAAACAAATAATCCAATTAAAAAATGGGCAGAAGACATGAACAGACATTTCTCCAAATAAGACATCCAGATGGCCAACAGACACATGAAAAGACGCTCAACATCACTCATCATCAGGGAAATACAAATAAAAACTACAATAAGATATCACCTCACACCTGTCAGAATGGCTGAAATCAACAACACAAGAAACAACGAGTATTGGCGAGGATGTGGAGAAAAAGGAACCTTCATGTACTGTTGGTGGGAATGCAAACTGGTGCAGCCACTGTAGAAGACAGTATGGAGGTTCCTCAAAAAGTTAAAATTAGAACCACCATATGATCTACTGGGTTTTCCCCAAGGAATATACTAAAACAGTAATTTGAAAACGTGTATGCAGCCCTATGTTTATTGTAGCATTATTTATGATGGCCAAATTATGGAAGCAACCCAAGTGTTCATTGATAGATGAATGGATAAAGAAGTGGTGTATATATACACAATGGGATATTAGCCATAAAAATAATGAAATTTTGCCATTTTACAACAACATGGATAGATCTAGAAAGTCTAGTGCTAAGTGAAATACAGAGAAAGACAAATACCATATGATTTCACTCATATGTGGACTTAAGAAACAACAAAAAAACAATACAGAAAAACTCTTAAATACAGAAAACAAACTGGTGCTTGCCCAGAAGGGAACTGGATGGGGGGATGAGTGAAATAGGTGAAGGGGATGAAGACTACACATCATGAAGAGCACTGAGTAATGTATAGAATTGTTGAATCACTATATTGTACACCTGATACTAACATAACACATATATGTTAAAAAAAAAAATTTAAAAAGAAGTAGCGGACTCCAAGCCAAGCTGAGCATGAGATAGTGTCCTGCTTGAACACACCTGAAAGCCCAGCACTTCTGGCACACACTGGGGGACTCCACAGTGCATTAATGTCATTCCTACTAGGACAGCGCCTTGGTTGCTGGGTTAGAAAGGCTGCCTGGGGCAGAGATCCCCACATTTGCACACACACAAAAAATTGGCTTAGAAGTTATACAGTTGGAATCATGGATTTGGGGCTTTGGGAATGTGCTTAAAGGGAGTTCTGGTCAGCAAGTCTGGGAAACTGCCTTAGCTGTTATCTGCGCCTCTATTAGTTGGGTAGGTGTCTTTACTATATTATCATGACATTCATAGTATACTATGTTATATTCTATAAGTGATATTGTGTCTTTCTCAGTGCATTGAATCAGAAAGCACATAGTATCATTTTGTCCCCTTATTGGTGATGCCAGGTTGGATCACTTCATGAAGCTTTCTCCACTGTAAAGTGCCTTCTCTTTTTTGTAACTATTAAGGTAATCCGTGGGTGATACTTTGAGACTGTGTGAATATCCTGTCCCCTTACAGCCTTTGTCTGATAATCCTAGCATCCACTCCTACATTTATTTGGTATTCTGCAGAGAAGAGCTTCCTTTCTTTCTCCTCACCCCCATTTTATTTCCTTTTCATATCACTCCAGTCTCATAGATTTTTTTTAAAAACAATGTGTTCCAATACGTTAATGTCACTGTGAGTATCTGTTACATACCCCAGTGAAGGAAGAGCCCCAATTCCACAATACCATTCTAGCTGGTGGTCTTAATTGTACTGAGGTTTACTATTACTGACCTCTCACAAATAATGCATTTATTGTTTGCCTCCCATTTCCTGAAATGCCAGGCCTTTGTTAATTTGCAAATATTTTATTGACCATCACAGATTGGCCAGTGGTGTTTCTGCGGTCCCCAGCAGTCTCTATCCTTGGCTTGAGGAGTCTCAACAAGGGCTGGCGGAGCTTCCAAGACACTGACTTAACCAACATTTATTGGTTGGGACACTCAAGAAGTTTAAGTAGACCAAAATGTCTGTTTGTGTGTTTTCCACACCCAATTTCTTCTAACTCCCACAACATTTCATTCCACACACAAGGACATCTTTTGTCTCTGTTTCCAAGGCAGGGAACTAGCTATAGACAGTCTTAAATAGCTGCTTGAAAGCACTTAAAAGGTAATTTATCTCCAACATACAAAATAGCTCATTACAAAAAATAACTGAACCTGGATCAATATCCATCACTTCTTAGTAAATGAATATTTAAAGAGGTCTCCCCAAAATAGAGCACTGGACAGATGATAACAAGAAGAGCAAGTACACTGGTCTGGTCACAGCTAAGACCAGGCTGCCAGAAAAACAGTCCTTTTCGTTGAAGGAGCAAAGCTGAGCCCACTTTCTTTTTTGTCTGTTCGGAAGCTCTACAGTTTTGTTCAAAGATCTAAATTCCTCATCAACGCTGACCGGGCACCTTGACCTAGCTCCCCACCTCTAATCTGAATCTACCCATTGGTTGTGTTGGCAAGGAAAAAATATTTTCCTCTACCCATCTCAAGTTCTCCATGTGGGCCCCTGTAAATTTGGCTGGCCAAAGACAGATTAACAAGAGAAAAAAAAACCCACATAAGTTTATTAGGATGTGCAGCACATACTCTCGGAAGTACCACAGATGAGTGACTCAAAGGGGTGGTTAGAACTTGAATTTATATATCGTCCTAGGCTAAAACAAGGAAAGGGTTTGAGGCTTCTAGCCAGGGAGGCAAGTTTTGGGAAGGTAACCAGAAGCATGGTAACCAAAGTTGTTTAGTAAGGTTCTATAGTCAGACCTGTCAGGAGAGGAAAGCTCTCTACAAATGGAAGTATGTTTTTAAATGTGAATTTCCTTTACAAAAGAAAAAAGTGTGCCCTGTTTTAAGAGCTTTTCCTGCTTCTGTTGTTACTCTGTGGCCTTTGGCTCAAGATAATCTGTAGACCAAAGAGGCATTTTGGGGGGTGGCACATTCTCATACCCCCTCAGCTGCTCTCTTTGCCCTACCTACACTGGACTTGCTATTTTGTGAACTGTCCAAGTGGGTACCTACTTCAGGACCTTTGTATTTGCTCCTCCCCCAGATTCATTACTCATTAATATTTTTTTAGTTTCAACTCAGATATCATCTCCTGTCACTGGCTACTTAATGTGCTTTTCTTCACAGCACTTATAACTACATAAAAATTCCTTATCTCAGGGCCCCTGGGCAGCTCAGTCGGTTAAGCCTCCGACTTTGGCTCAGGTCATGATCTCACTGCTGGTGAGTTAGAGCCCCGTGTCAGGCTCTGTGCTTATAGCTCAGAGCCTGGAGCCTGCTTTGGATTCTGTGTCTCAGTCTCTCTCTGCCCCTCTCCCACTCTCTCTCTCTCTCTCTCTCCTTTCTCTCTCTCTCAAAAATAAATAAACATTAAATAATTTAAAAATTACTTCTCTGAAAATGGCTGAGATGACCATGGGGTTTATTTATCCATTCCAGTGATATTGGTGGCCACCTGGAACAGGTGAGTGTGTGCATAGGTGGGGCAGACAGGGCATTCCACATTTATTGTCCCCCGAGGAGTATGCAGCTAGAGGAGAATCCAGGTAAGAAGATAACTTTGGAAGCATCACACTAGAAAGTTCCTGCACCTAGACTTTCATGACCTCTCCTGCAGGCAAACTTGACCTCCATGTACATGGAGAATCTTTATTGCTCATCAGTCTAAGACCACCAAGTGCAAACCTGCAAGTGGCTCAAAATCAGGTTTACTGACCCATTGCAATGAAGTAACTGCAGGCGGTAAGACCGTGGGGCAATTTCAAGAACACAGGAAAAGGCAGAGTTTATGGGGTTTAGGGGAAAGGGGTCAAGGTGAAACTCTAATGAAGCAGTGTTCCCACAGGCTCAGAGCAATGCAGGGCTGCGTGCAAGGTGGGCCCAGGCACAATTTCTTTGGGAACTCCCGTGTTAAGCAGGTGTGGGTAGCTGTGTCCAGGAACCCCTTAAGTGAGGCACACACCTAGGTGGAGTGGAGGAGGCGGCGTCTCTGTCACAATGACCCGGATCCTCGGCTAGAGTGGGGTGTTTCCTTCTTCCTTACGGTATTTAAAGGGCAAAATGAGGGCCTGTGATTTAGGGAATAAAATTTCTGTGAGTAAGCAGCGGTGGTCCCTCAGAGGGGTCATTGTAACCCTTCAGGGCTGCAGTGCCCCTGGGGAGTGCTGTCTCCTGTTCATCAATCAGCCTGTCATCTCAGTCGGAGGGTCGCAGGAAGGCTGGCACTTTCTCAGTATAAACAAAGTTTTACATTCTTAGCTGGTGTTTTCAGAGCCACTTCGCCCCCGGTTCAGGAGACTGAGCGCACCAGGCGTTGGCGACTGCATTTCTAGCATGTACCCGGTTTTCCTTCCCGTTTACCAGGCCTTGGCCGCACCCCAACACCCAGGGAACTCCGGGGTGGGGTAGCCGGTAACTCTGACTGGGCGAGGGACGCCGGCCCCAGAAATCTGCAAAGCTGCGATGGCAGAGTCCCCCTCATGACCCTGGGGGGGCAGAGAGAGGCAAGCAGGACAGAGGTTCCGACTCCCGAGTCCTCCTGCTCCTTCACTCGCGTCCCCCCAGACTGGGCTTGGCTATCTTGGGGACAGACCCCCGCTATTGGTTGGCCTGGGCAGGTCACTTCATCTTCCACACCTACAAAAAGGCACGCCCCTGCCAACGTCCAAGGACTTAAAGCCTTTGCCCGCTGCCCTGCCCTACCTCTCCGGATACCCCGTCCCCGGAGACCGCCCCCCGTCTCTCGGAGGCCCCGCCCCCGAAGACCGGCCCTTCCCCCCCTGCGGCCCCGCCCCTCCTCTCAGGAGTTCCCGCCCCTCCTCTCAGGAGTTCCCGCCCCGACGCAGCGCGCAGGCGCGGCCCGTGCCAGCCCTACGGCGCCGCAGTGACGGGCGCCAGAGCCGCCGCAGCATCCTCGGTGTTGGCGTTGTCTTCCCTGCTCTGCCTCTTGTCTTCCTCCTCCTCTGACCGCGCGATGGCGAAGCCGCTGACTGACAGCGAGAAGCGGAAGCAAATCAGTGTGCGCGGCATTGCGGGGCTGGGAGACGTGGCCGAGGTGCGGAAGAGCTTCAATCGGCACCTGCACTTCACACTGGTCAAGGGATGCAATGTGGCCACGCCCCGCGACTACTTCTTCGCGCTGGCTCACACGGTGCGCGACCACCTGGTGGGCCGCTGGATCCGCACGCAGCAGCACTACTACGAGCGCGACCCCAAGGTGAGGCGGCCCGAGGGAGGCCGGGGTCGCCTGCCCAGGGTCACTGCGCTCGTCCTGCCGTGCCTGCTGCCCCAACCCGGAAAAGGGCAGCCCTTGTGCCGGGCCTCTCGAGACACGGGCCCCTAGGAAGAGACAGCAGAGCGATGCACCTCTCCCAGAAAGACGCACGTAGGGCCTGTGTTGGCGGAGTGTCTTTAAATTGAGCACGGCCACCCTCTGTGTGCACCCGCAGCCCATCGGTGGTCCACGCCGGTGAGAATAGCTTTGGCTGGGGTCACGTCTCCCCCACCGCCTTCCCCTGGGGCGGTCAGCCAGCTTTACAGGCCTGGCCCGTGCCCACCACCCCCGGGCGCAAAGCGGATCCGGGCTGTCCTCTACGGCAGACAGTGTAGGGTATTGTCTACACTCGGGGCCCCGGGGCGCCTAGCCTCCTCTTCCTCTGTTTAGGCCCCAGTCCACAGTCCTTTTGCGCAAGGAGCTCGGTCTTGCAGGGGTCTCCTGTTCCCCGCCGTCTCCTGAGCCCTGGAGTCCTGGCGGAATTTTCCAGCCTGTTTCTAGCCGTGTGCTTCTGTGATGGCTGCAGAGTCGGTGCTTCCTCCTCCCCTGACTCCGCCCCCCACCTTTTGGGGATTTTTTTTTTTGCAGCAGAGTGTGAGAGAAAAGGAGACTGGAACCGGGCCTGGGCGGTTTTGTGTTGGAAGGGGGTGAGCTCAGTCATCTGCAGGGGATTGTGGGCTTTTTTTTTTGGCTAGGCATTGATCGGAAGAAAATCATTGAGGATGCCTGCTAAAGCAGGGGTCAGGAGCTCAGAAGAAGCCCTCAAAGAAGTCTCTGTCTTTGGGGTTTCCACACCTCTCTTGAAGAACATTGTTGTGTTAAAGTTCATGGAGATTAAGTAATCACGGAGGTTGTTACTTTTCATATTTTGCAGAAATTTATGTTTATGGCAGAAAAATACTAAATACACACAAAAAAAGTCACTGATGTGACTCCATTACTCTCAACCATATTAAAATGAAGGTGTATGTCCTTTCAGATCATTTTCTATTCTTAAATATGGGTACACATTTTAAAAAGTATATTGCATATACAACTTTGTGATTTTTCTGTTTCATTCATTGACATTTGTAACTTTTTCAACAGCTTTCCAAGTTAGTAAGTATCATTGGTAGTTGGATAGGCCTGTCATAGTCTTGGCCATCCACCTGCTGCCAGTTTGTTTGGGTGTTTTTACTTGCTCTTGACCACAGAGAATTTTGTCCTTTCTACTCTACTAAGGTAGAATGACTCCTGAAGAAAGGATACACTTGCAGACCTGAAGCCAGTTTGCAAAGATTTGTTCTGCAGTATCCATATAGGCACTGTATAGTTGCTTTGTTGATATTATTTTAGAGTATTTTCATGAGGCATTAAAAAATGTTTAATGGTTGTTAAGAGTGAGATCATTGCTTTTCCATACTTACTGTGGAGCACTCTTTTTTCTAAAACAGAGATGGTAACAAGGACAGAGTTGTTAGAATACCAGCGAGGCTTCTTCACATTTTGTATGCAAGACAACATAGAAGTGGCACCAAGTGGCTAAAACAGGTTTTTAGAACAAGGGCTTAGGATGTCTTTGCCAGGGAAACTGGCCAAGAGGCTGTGGCTCCCCCAGAATTCCCTGCTGATGGCAGAGCTCTGATTTGCAACATCGGTGTTGTTGTCAGTGTAAGTGGACAACAAGGGTATAGCTTTGCATGCACATTCAAGGACATTTCTCTGGACCAGAACACACCTCAACACCTTGGGATTCCTCTTAGAGTGTTTATGTATAATTAGATCCTGAAAAGAACAGTGATGGGCTCAGGGATTATGGAAATGACCTTTCCTGAACAGAATTAATACCTCTAACAAAACTGGTTTCCTGATCGTCATTGAAAGGTCTGAGTTTTGATTGCCTGCTGTGGTGGCTACAGGCGGAAAATTTTCTGTCTAGAGAAAATTTCTTTACAAACCACACAGCCTGTAAGTGGAAAGTTGTTTGCCTGTTCTGGGTAGGAAGGCCATTTTAAAATGGAAAATTGGAATTTAAGTGTTTCAGTCTGGCTAATTCATATTGAAAAATAAGCTTCTCTCCTTTTTCTGCAGAAGTGTTATTTTGCTTGTAATGGACCAGAAATAAGCCCCACAAGGGTCCGAGCCTGACAGGAGGTAGGCTCCCAATAAAAATCCTGCAGAGCTTCACCCCAGCTTGGGGATGACCTCAGGGATTTGTCCCACTGCATTCTGACTGGGGGAGCCAGATGATCTATATTTAATACATTAGCGTGCTTTTACTTGACTTTTTGTCTTTCAAACAATTATGGAAGTTCGTATGATTATTGGAAGAAAAATTGGAAAACAGAAAAGCCAGAAGGAAAAAATTAACTGTAATCGCAACACCTAGTAAAAACATGATAAATGCTATAAACATTTGTGTTCTACATCTTTTTTTCTACCTTGGTAGAAACGCTGTTTTTATTACAAAAATAGTATCATGCTGTACCTCTTGTTTCAGAACCCTTTTTGGTCTTCTGTTTTTGGTAATAGCAGAAACAAATGAAACGCAAATGCTCAGGGAAAGATTTTTCAGGCAACTGGCCTGGCAAATCAGGTAAAAAAAACAAAAACAAAAAAACCTAAAATTGAGAGGTTGGTGTTTGGCAGGAGGTAGCACTTAGTTCTAAAGATGGTTCAAGGATTCTCTGAAGTGATGGCAAGGTGAGGAGTCTGGGATAAAACTCCAGAGCTGGAACTCCACTCTGAATTCAGGAATAGAAAAGAGATGGATGGAAAGAAAAAAAAAAAAGAGAGAGAAGAGATGGATGGTGAGGGATGGCTCATGAGTCCAAGCTCCTTTTAGTCCTAGCTTTACTATGCAGTTTATAAGACCTTGGACTTGGCTGGATTTCTTAACCTTTCTTGGCCTCAGTATTTTCATCTTAAAAATGACAGGGGTGGAGGGAGGTAGTTCATTTCTGAGGTTCCTTGCCATTCTAAAAAGTTGTGGCTTTGTGTTTGCTTATAAAATGTTTCCATTTTATGCTGACATTCCATCTCTGTCCAAAAAGAATTGAAGAATGCCTAAGCAAGGCATGACACAGAAGGTTCAGATTAATTGAAGACCTCAAAGAGAAAGTTGGAGCCAGGGAATAAGAGTAGGGAAACAGGTTGCATTCAAGGACGATGTTAGGACACAAAGTGCAGACATAAGTTCTGGCAACCAGAGCAAATGGCAGCTCATGTCTACTTATGGGAGTCATGGGATCTCTGTGATAACTTCTAGAATGGGCAGGTGTGAGATATCTTCTGTGGGACTTTAAAGTGGATAATACACAATGTGGACAGCTGGCCTACTGCATCCCTATAATGGATGGGATAGTCTGTTTACTATGGCTCTTTCCTGTAAACTCATGGCATAGCCACAATAGTAGATTAAGGAAAATAATAGTGCACCACTACCACCATGGGGCCCAAACTGCAGTCTTGAATATTTCAAATAAGATAATCATAATGAATACAATTAATCTTACTGTTTGGCTGGACCCTGGAGTTAAAGGAAGAAGATCTAGAGCAGTGTTTTTGCAGCCTTGTCTGCCCACAGCCCCGACTTACAAGATTTTGTTTTAATTAGTGGTGAGACCAGCCACCCGGAGTCTTTTTAACACACCGAGTTTTGATATGTTTCCACTGGTCTTGTGAAGTTGACCTTGTATCCCATGGGCAAGCTTCCCTGACACCAGACAGCTCAATTATTTTCCCTGGCTAGAAGCTTGACAAGGGACAGATGTTTTGTGTTGCTGATTAACCTGACAGCTCCACAAGTGGAAGGTAAGGTTAAACCATCACTTTATGAGATTAAGGAGCCTCTCAGAGTGTGAGCCATGATTTTTCATAGTAGACAGTTTGGCCTCTCAAGGGCTGTGATGGTTTATTTACTGCATCAACTTGGCTGGGCCACAGTGCCCAGATATTTGATCAAATACTATTCTAGATGTTTCTGTGAAGGTGTTTTTTAGACGAGATTAACATTTAAATTAGTGGGCTTTGAGTGAAGCAGATCACCCTCCACAATGTGGGTGGGCCTCCAGTCAGTTAAGACCTTAATAGAACAAAGACTGATTACCCCACCCCCCACATCATCCCTCCTCAGCGGGAAGGGATTATGCCAGCAGACTGCTTTGGGACTCCAAATGCAACTCTTCCTTGTATCTCCAGCTTGCCAGCCTAAAAATCATGAGATTTTAGTCTCAGACCTCCACAACTGTGTGAGCCAGTTCCTTAAAATAAATCTGTATATACATATCCTGTTGATTCTGTTTCTCTGGAGATCTCTAATACCCAGGTGCCATGGAGGCTTCAGGGACCCTTTGTATTTTTATGAAATAATCATAACTGACCTCACATTTGAATCCTAGCCTTTTTTTTTTCTCCCAATGTTTATTTTTGAGAGAGAGATAAAGTGTGAGTGGGTGAGGGGCAGAGAGAGAGAGGCTGACACAGAATCTGAAGCACAACCTCCAGGCTTCAAGCTATCAGTGCAGAGCCTGATGCAGGACTTGAACTCATGAACTGTGAGATCATGACCTGAGCTGAAGTCGTATGCTTAACTGACTCAACCTCCAGGTGCCCCCCAGCCCTTTTTAAATGAGTTTTTACAAAATTGTATTTTATATGACTTCAGACTTTTAAATATTGCAGGAATAATACAATAAATTCCCATTCTTCATGCAGATTCCCCAAGCATTAAACATTTTAACACATTTGTCCCTTTCTATACATATTAGTACATTTTTCTCTGAACCGTTTGAAAGTAAATTGCAGACTTGATGCTCCTTTACCCTTAAAAATTTGAGTGTGTACTTCCAAAAATCAGGGAGACTCTCTTAGACAAACACTGTGAACAATTAAACCCAGGACATGCACATTGACATGGTGCTGTCACCTGCAGATCTCATATAGCTCTGCCAGTTGCCCGACTA